ATCTGAGAGGTTATAATATACTCCTTGGAGGTAAGCAACATAAAAGAGGGTGGCAAAGGTGGGGTACCAATCACGCACCACGATGAATTTTTCTATTTAATCACGCATCACAGAGAAGTTTTTTCACCAATCACGCGTCACATAAAAAGAAGTAGGTACATCACCAATTTTACTTCCTCGACCCTAAGAGCGTCGTTTAAAGAAGAACTTTGCCGATTCAACCACAAAAATGCATTGGCAAATATGTGACCTCTCACGCAAAAACGTTCCTTACGGTATCTGTTCGAACGGCTGATCATGAACGCATGGCAAGTGGACAAGCCTGCGAACAGGCTCCCAGTGAGGGCGGAAAAGAATCCGGCGGGGGCACTTATAAAGCGAAAGACCAAAAGGCTTGGCTGTGAGCCAATGAGAAAGCACTGACATCATAGCCAAACTGGACAAACGAGTTCCTTACACCGGCTGAATTTGATTATTCAAAATGGCGGACATACCTTAATTTAAGGTTCTAATATGCTAATTTGCAAAACATTCTTTATATACACGTTTATGTTCTGTAACGGCTTTGTAATTTATGCTATACACACAGTTATATATTAAAATACGCGTTATTAAAATACGTGTATCTTGAGTTACAATGACCAGATTAAGCCTTGATTGATGACGTTCGTTTAAGGTTCTTTCTGCCATCTAATATTACATATTGCAGCGAAAAGGGTAGTTCAAATTCGTCGACAACGTCCACCGTCTACGAATGCCTACGAGCGAAAACAACTTCCGGTGCCTCGCCGCCTAAAGCATCACAATTTTCAGTGTTCTTCCACCAGATATAATTTTCTCTGCAACATTTAGATTTGAGGTCAATTAAGTGGCGAGATCCCCGAGAACTGGAAGCTATGGAAAGAGAAATACTGCAATAATTACTTGGTTCGGAGCGAGAAAGTTCCGAGCATCATTTCGCCGTGTTCAAGGACGTTATTGATGACGATGGCCTTTAAGTGTTCAAAGCCTTAAGCTATACTGAAGAAAAACGATTTCCGTGTAGTAATGGGGAGGATGAAAAGGTATTGCATTGGCGAAGTAACGTAAACGAGATTGTTTCAGCAGGAGGGAAGAACTTCCTACCGAAACGCTCGACAACTTAAAGAGAACCTTGGCAAAGAATTGCAGTTGATGTGAATTTTTACGGTTTTTACACAATACCCTCATCCGCGTTCGACTGGTCTTAGGATAAAACATGAGCAAAGCACCAAGCAGCTACTTACGATGACAGACCCCAGTCATGAAGCAAGTGTATCGACCTTCCAGCATCCGAGACTGGTGATGCAAATATAGGAATCTTAACCATGACGACGCCGAGGAATTTGTCCAGGATGCCTATGGCTCTAAAACCTCGCTCAGGCTAAATATGTAATGACAGCGTTCAATTCTAAATGGAAATACGAAAAATTAGCAGTTCGACGGCAACGCCAAGGACGACAGCTGGAAAAAAATGGACCTAAATTTTACCTTTGAATTTCGCAATTATCTAGAAATGTTCTGCAAGCCGAGCGGTCGAAGACCCTACTCAAACTAAAGATGTAACGCCAGCGAATAATTCTAGAAGAAAATACGAAAAATTAGCCGTCGCGGCTCCCGTTCTTCAAAATACCCAAAACTCGGTCATTTCACGTTGTTGTTTTGCAGAGGACGGCAAAGAAATGTACAAAGATTTATAACGCACGTGCGCAGCTATTATTTTGCTCATTAAACCTTTTGTTTAACGGCGTTTTCGTTGCCGTTGTTTTGCAGAGGACGGCTATGAAATGTTCAAAGGTTTACTGAACACACTTGTACAGCCCTTGTTTTGCTCATTAATAAACCTTTTGTTTGTTTGTTTGTTTGTTTGTTTGTTTGTTTTTTTTGTTTGGTGGTGCTGATTGACGTCGTGGTTTGCGCCAGACTCGTCCAGCTACGTCAGAGGAATTAAAAACGCATACAGCTTCATTTCTACGGTTAGGCCTACGGTCCAGAGTAATCCGTCACGAAAACGGAGCGTTTCGAAAACGCTCTTCAAACCAGTGGAATTTGAAAACGCCGGCCTTGAGTTTTCATGTGGACGGAAAGTATTTTAAAACGGACCTTTTCGAGCACGATAGGATCAGGAAAACCACGTGATTTCCCTGGCCGAGATTTCCTCAAATAAAAATATAAAACGACCGGTGATTGTTGCGTTTTTAAATTCCTTCGGTGTAGTGTGAACGGCCGGGCCTAAGCTTCCTAGGCCTCTGATCGATGAAGTCAATAATCAGACGGCGTTATTCAATGAGTTCAAAGAGTAAAAAATTGGAGGAGGACCCGCGCAAAGGAGAAATGCACCATAAATAAACAGCATAAATAAAATAAATATTTAGGGGTGGAACTCTTTAAGGACCTCGATCAAGTTAAATATTCGTTATATGTTACTAGCATTATCACGAAGGCTGACCCGGTGGCTAAATAAAGTTTTACTTTATTTACTTTTACTGTCGGATTTATCAGAAGGAACCTGGAACACATTTAAGAAAGGTCCTTGTTATTCATTAGTAAGAGACCATCTGTGTGGGATTCGCATACCTAAAAGGAAATTCATGACGTCCAGATCTAAGGTGTGCAACGACAAGCCGCTCAAACATTTTAATTATTCCCCTATAACACAATCGGGAGCCCGCGGTTCACAGGCTAAGTTTGAGAAGACGTCTACGCCACCTTTGCCATGCTCTAATATACAAGCAATATTTGCATCAAAGCTTTACCCCTTCAGATCCTTTTCTGTGCGGCAACGTTTTTGTGTCTGTAAAGGATATAACGTATTCAGTTAGGTCTTTATGACGACCTTCATTAAGTGGCACTCAAACATTTTCCTTGTGTAGTCTCTCGTTGTTTACACAACTGTCTTCTCGAGCGGTATAAAAAGGTACCAAACTCTAACGTGTGTTATCGTTTTAGCCCTTTTGGACGAAATTCGTTCAAACCTTTTATAGATCTTTTATACGATAACCGCACTTGGATATGGTGTGTCATATTCTCTTGGCCTGATGCACTGCCAAAAATGATCGGTCGATAAAATGGACAAAAATAACACTGAAGCTCATAGTCCTTGTACAAAGTCAACCTCGTTCCCTGGGTCTCTCATCTTACCGCGCCCTGGGGCGAGCATCATATAAAGACCAATGTGAAAATTTTATTGAAGTTTTGCAGCACGCACCTTGCAAAGTCGACAGTAGAAAGTATAAACATCAAGCATTGAATAATATTTTGTCGGGAATTGCGAAGTTTTGTAAATAACGGATGGAACAAGCCAAGTCATGAATTACTCATAGCGGAGCTCCGGCAGCCCGAAAGGCCGCCGAGCGGAACCCCATACTCATATAGGAAAGAAAAAGAAACCCATGAGTTGATTTTCTCTTGGTTATCATGGCTAGCGGTATTGCTCGTGGGCGCGTCCGCACGACGGCGACGACGGCGACGGAGTTGCCCAACATGGCGGCCATACTCCAAATAATAGGTTGACAGACATGCAGCCTTGGTTTACCGTGTACTTCCTTGATATTGGACATCCACGTTATGATCAATTGACATCTTTCAAAACAAGGTATCCGCTGACCAGTATCACGTGGCCATATCGCGAGCTCAAGTTTACAGCTCCTCGAGGTCTCGTGTTGTTTTGAAATTGACCGCTGACTAAGTGCTGGTTAAGGATTGGATCGCGGGCTCATATTAGGTTAACTTGTTGGAAACAGGGCAGGATTGCTCGGAAGCCGGTTAACGCTAACCCAGGATTACAAGTTGCTGTTTTGTTTTGTGTATAGGGTGATTATTAAAACTCAAAACAGAAGGCCAAACAATATACAGAAAACCTCACCGCAAAGTTACAAAACTCAAATCAAAATTCTACCTTTTTCTGGGTTAGCTGAATCGGGCTTTGAATAACCCGGCCCAGGAGCTACGCTTTTAGGCTGGCCTAAATCTATATATTATGCAAAGACAAAGGTTTATTGAACTGAACACCAAATGAATTTTTATGTTGCACTTAGAAACCACGGTATATATTTCACTCTCGTTCATAATCTTACAATAACGTTTTCTGAAAATTGAATTACCTTAGTGTTACACTGCAAAATCGTACTCTACTGACGAAAATGTGCGACTTACAGTAAAGCGCAGCATTCCGTCTTGTACGTTTTCAATTACACGCCTTTAGAAAAGCAATAATTAAGATCATAAATAATTACGATCTTCTCTCGCGAGTTTTGAATACGTGGACGCGACCGCTCTGTATGCTGACACCTCGTTTGTTTGCCCTCTACAAAAAGAGTGATCCTACTTAAGAATTAGAAAGTATCTCGGAGCAAAGAGATTAAAAATCAGTTAATCAAGAAAACCTGCACAGCCGCTGGAAATTCGACTGGAAATAGAACAAAACGGAGGACGGAAATTTTTCGGACAGAATGCAGTAGCACTGTTCCTAAGATCACCAGCAACAATAACGACTTCGTATAAAAGAAAAAAAAAATATACAGAAATATCAACATAAGTTGGGTAAAGGGTTTACCTTTACACAACTTATAATTTGATTATTAAGCGGCAGCTCTTTCAACCTCACAGTTCTAGGAAAGAGCGTCACTCTATCATCGTCATTTCTCTTTCGAGAAAAAAAAAGAGATAAAAGAGAAAAACAAAACAAAACAAAACAAAAAAGAAAACAGAAAAAACAAACAACAACAACAACAACAACAACAACAACAACAAAACACACACACACTCAGTAACGACCACCACGTAAACTAGAATCAGCGCAGAAACCACAATGTTTAGATGATGTTTTTATACGGGTTACAAACATTTGCATGTAAAAACCCCAGCTTTCCCTGCTATGCCCGCTTAAAAATCCCGACTCGACGAACAAGTATCCTATTAGACTAGTTAAAAAAAACAAAACAAAACAAAACAAAAACAAAAACAAAAAACAGGACTATCAATGCACTGTGAGAAGGAACTCTTTAATTATATGTCATTAAAAATAAAGCACATTCTATTTGGAAGAAGCAATTTTCGATTTAAATAATCTTCCATTCTTCTTTACATTTTTCGCAAAGATTATATTCATCAGTCAATGCTCGGATTACACGGGTACACTTCTTTTTTACGCGCGTACTCACGAGGCAGGAGGCACGTGTCACGCACGAGGATTTAATCGCACGCAAGCCACGTAGGCTTATCCTGGGTTTACACAGGGCATATTTCTAACAGAAGTTACTAAACAAAGAGTGAATTAACAAAAACTAATAGCCGTGAATAACCCGACAAAAAAAAAATCATTATCTTAAAACATGTTTCTCCCAGAAGTGAATTAAAAATTTGCACAATTGTTTTCCGGGAAAGTGCCGTGCATAAATAGCAGCCTAACCCATCCCTCCCTCTATAAATCTTCACATCCCTTCTAGCCCGCGCCAATCTGCACGCTACAATATATATATCTGTATATCGACTTTATTTGTTATTTACATGACGTGCTACTGTTCATATAATAAGGTTTTCTTAGAACAATTACGAGCTACATGCATTCAGTTAAATTCTAGTAATCTGAACCAAAAAAAAGCAATTACCACTTTCCACCAAACAAAGAATATACCGAGAACTCTCCAAAGTTGCATGTGACATGAACATGACGCACCGTAAGTAGGGGAACAAGAGTCCTGTTCGGGAAATCTTCGTGAAGACACGAACACTTTTCTGATTTCAGTTATCCAATCAGAAAACAGCTAAAGCAGTCGAGATCACTCGAAAAACCGTGACGTCAACTTATCTCCACGAGGACACACCACGTTGCCTGGTGACGTCCTAGGGAAAACCCTGGATTTTGACTAAAAATGGCTTCTTGTTCCCCGACAGTGCCTTGTTCCCCTGAATCATTACATGCTACTTAGCAACTCCTACAACCAAGTTCACATAACTGCAGGCTCAGAATGTCCTCGGGAAAAGAAAATGGTCCTAAACACGTTACTCACTCCTCCGCTTATGTCATCTTTCTGATATCATGCCATTTTAGATTTGATTTGATTCTGCTCTTGAGTCCTAGAATTCAAAGTTGATTTTAAAGAAGTTACGGCACGATACTAAACATACTTTTCTAATGTACAAAAGTCCTTTGAAAACGAAAGAAGTTCGAAGAAGCGGAAAATAAACGACGATGGTTACCGCGAAACGAAGATTTAAATAGTTAACGAACAAAACTTGTGAAAAAAAAAAAAAAAAAGAAAGAAAGAAAGAAAGAAAGACGGAAATGGCCAATTTTGTCAAAAGATATGCCGTCCGTGACGTATTTCAGGATCTTTTCAAGCACGTGTAACCAACGTGATCTAATCAACCGGCGCAAATATATATATATATTTTCAACCAATTAAGGAGCAGAGCCTTAAGGAAAACCACTTGTGTGCTTTTCCGTGTTTTTCACGGCTCCCCTGGATTTCAACTGGTTGTGATTGCTTCACTATTTGTGTTTCTTCTGATTAGCATCAAAATTTTACATCGTTTCTTTTCCTCACAGCAACCCGCTGCAATTTTGTCTAATTTATTTTCCCGTAGTTTTTCTTCATCACAATCGATGAGAAGATAAACCACGGCTATTTTTCACGAGTAATAGTATCAATCCGCATTGTGTCACAATTGAAGAATCTGCAAAGAGCGGCTTTAAGCTTTCCGTGATTCATGTCATTTACAAATTGTCCTTAAAATAGGTTTGTCTCTGCTCATTTGGTTTTCCTCGTAGATTGTGTTTGTGTAGCTATTACTGCTTGCACTCCACGCTGAAATGCTGCATTGTAGGCCGGCATAAACGCCTGCAAAGATAAAAGAAAAAAAAAAAAACTGTAAACAAAAATAAGGTAGCCTCTTAGTTCTGATGTCAACATAGAAATTTCCAACCTCTCGCGATATTTATGAATTGTTACAGCACTAGCCGGAGTCGGTTATGGTCTGTCTACAGACCCTGTATTTTGTATTGAGTTCGTCGAGATCGCAAGCTTAGCAAAATATTAACCCAGCGCGAGGGAAATCAACGAGCCTAAACGCAAGGGGATAGGGTTGGGGCAAGACAAAAATTGCACAGAGTTCGCGACCGGTCTCGCGCTCCGCGCTCGCATCACTCGCGCGTTCGAAGAAAGAGAAAACCTGGTAGCAAAAAGATAAACGTCCGTGGACAGACCACCGGAATTCAATTGATGACCAAGACAACTTCCTTTTCTTGATCTTTTATAAGCTATCCTTTTCCTATACTTTTAATATTTCCCAGCCTAAGTTTTAAAACATATCTCTCACCACATAGGAGAATGAAAAATAAAAGACTTTTCGACAATATTTTACGCGTTCGTTTTGAACGTGTAAAGTCTATAACTTAAGATAAAGAAATCGGAAACCTCACCTCGTCCCAGATAAGCTCAGCAACATGATCCAGCTTAGCACCGTATTCCCTAAACTCTCCACTGAACCGAATATACGACCATACTACTATCGCTAACAGACCAGACCATATGACCAGATTACACATGCGCCCAAACGCCACCAAACCAACCGAACCGAAGACACTGGAGAGAAAGTATCCCAGCACCACCAGCGTGAAGAACACTGCCGGGGTGCGCGCGGCGTTAAAGATGTTCTTCCCGTCATTGAGCTTCACAAAGTTCTCAAAAGATTCGTCGATCTCCTTCAGAAGTCTTTCCAAGTACTCTTTGCTAAATTCGCTGCCTCCCATCTTGCGCGTTCCTTGAAACATGGCTAATGAGGTTTCCTTGGCTTGCTGGTGTTTCTTTTCCAGTTCGTGGGGAGCTAAGTATGGCGTATCGCCTCCACACAGCTGAAATACAAATTGAAAACAAAAAGATTGATTCCAGCATAGCTATTTCAGTAAAATAGAGTATTCCGTGTTTTACCCCGAACATTCCAATGTAAAGAGTAAAAGGAGAGAATCTGGAAAACGCTTTGCAGGATTAAGTTTTCTCTCACAACGCAATATACCTCTAGCTTCTTGCATTTAAAAGTCAATACCCTCGCGCGTCGCTCTCGTTTCCCGCGTGTCCAACGCTTTCCTCGCGTGTCAATGATTATTCTACCGTGCCTATAAATTTTCTCTCACATGGATCAGTTCTTGCTTAACCATCCTTAGGGACGCTTCATAAATATAAGAAGAGCGAGAGATAGGATTTTCCACATTCGAGCTAGCAGGGTTCAACAGTATTTGATTAATTAATTATTAATTAATACTGTAATTATGTGCGAATAACTCACATGTTCCATGTTTTTGTTGTAGGAATCTTTTGAACTTGCCAGAGCAGCAAGGTTGTTTGCTTCAGCTGTGGCCTGAAAAGAAGCAACAAATAAGCAAACAAAACACTAAGGATCAATATCCAGGTTCTCTTTAATGGGTTTCATACATCTCTTGTCATGTGATTTCCTTGAGAGAATTAAAATTTTAGTCAAGATATAAATTTCAATTCGATGATCATGTCTTGTCATTTAGTGATGAACACAACAGATGATTAAAGGGTGTCGTTCAAGGAACACTTACTAGATCACGGAATATACTGAGTTCATCGAGCGAACAAAGAAAAGTGAAGAGAAAAAAGGGAGGAAAACATTACTCCACCAAAACAGGAAACGAGATACGCGGGAAATTTCTCCTCTCTGCTCCACTTTCTTTCTTTTTTTTTGTTCGTTTTTGGTTTGTTTTACTGCGTATCCCTCGATAAACTAAAAAGAGAGGTACTACTCCAAGTTAAAAAACTTACCAGCAACATAGACTTAGGCTGCGGTAGCTCCTCACCTTGGAAAATCTTCATGTAAGCCTATCACAAACAAACAAGGCACCGTTACAATAGGGATGAAAAAGAAAACACAAATCGTGTAACCTTCAAGAATTGACGGAGCCCAAGGTTTTGCTTATGCAGTACGCTTGCTAAGTAACAACACAAACCCTGATCAGGACAGCGTTCAGAGTACTCTAACCAATCAGGAGCGAAAGCAAAAGCAAACGTCGCTTGGGTTATGCGCGCTTTCCGGCGCTTAGTATAGGTTGCGTGTTTTTTTTTTCCCGCACTAGACACGGATTGCATGTTTCACTCGGGTTGATGGGGGCTGCATGATTTACCGCCCTTGACACGGGCTGCATGATTTTCTCGCCTTTGACAAGGGCTGCGTGTTTTCCCGCCCTTGACAAGAGCTGTATGCTTTCCCGCCCTTGACACAGACCCTTGACCCAGGCTGATTTTCCCACCTCTGACAAGGGCTGTATGTTCTCCCGCCCTTGACAAGAGCTGTATGCTTTCCCGCCCTTGACACAGGCTGCATGTTTTCCCGCCTGCAAGATTTTCCCGCCCTTGACAGGGGCTGTATGTTTTCCCGCCCTTGACAAAGAGTGCATGTTTTCCCACCCTCGACACGAGCTGCATGGTTTCCTGCGCTTTATGGAGGCTGCATGTTTTCCCGCGCTTGGCACGAGTTGCATGTCTCTCCACCCTTGACACGGGCTGAATGATTTCCCGCGCTCGGCTGCGTTATTTCCATGCGTGGTGTTTGGCCAGATGTGACTATTTTGGTTTTGCGACGTTTAAACCGTTCTGCAGAGAGGGATATAAATTACAATCACCTTAAAATACTCCAACAGTCCTCTACAAGTGACCTCTCCTCCGTTTATGCTCTTAGCAACAAGGTTTTCAGAAGACAGCACAGAAGGAGTGAGATCTCGTAAATGGGTTTTAAACTCCTCGTCAATATCTATGAATAAAGTAAAAATGTGTGTCATTTAGTAATTATTACCTAAATTAATATATCCAACGTCATATTTATACCGCTTTCACCAGCACCCCTCCCCATTGTCCCACTGTTTACAGTCCCTCTTAGAAAGTTCATGCATAACATAGATAATCTTTAGATATTTGATGATTTCTCAACTGTGGTGGTTTGTAGATAGTCTTCCCTCCCCCTGACATTTTGTAACTGCATTACAACAGCATTTAATAAAAACGTTTTGAGCCTCAACTCCTCCATTCCTTCAAAAAGAAAAAAGATTAAGGAATTTCCATGGAATGTGACCGTTCTAAACAAACACACATCTGGACAACTGCGAGAAACGGCCAATCGTCCAAAGTTCTTTTAAATTCCATGCCTCTAAAATTGTCAACCCAAACCCTCAACTGAGTTATTCAGTGCTGGCAGTACGAGAAGTGAAACACTTTTTTTTTTTTACATAAGTTACCTGACATGACCAGAGTATTCCAGGCCGAAAATAGTACTTATGTCTCCTTCTCTAAATTAACATTCATACACTCTTTCTGAGTGTTCTTTAGGAAGGGAGGTGCATGACGTAAAAGGTATGTTTTTTTTTGGGGGGGGGGGGATTGCTTATTCACAGAAAAGTGCTTAACTGAGAAATTTGTGGGGCACCTGGTTTTTGCAGTTGCAAACTTTAGACATCTAACTGTTGTTAACTCTGGTACCCAATGTACTAACCCTTCAGACTTCCATCAAATGTGGGATTTGTGGCAACTTTCAGTCCAGGGTGCGGCATCAGGAAACAGCTAATGTCACTAAAGCAGGACTTGATGTGCTTTCTCACTTGCATCAGTTCAGAATGCTGTTTTTCCGTCAACCGCAGACGTTTCTCCAAGATTTGATGTCCACCTTCAGACCCATACTCTGCTTCATACGGAAAACTCCAGTCACGTACCAAGAACACCAATCTCTGAAAATATTTATCACACAGAAATCAAGAGCCTGTTGTTCATTTGTTTGTTTGTTAATTTGTGTTTCAGTCTATGTTTGGAATGTGCAATGGCCCAGATTTATGAGCAAGTAAAAAAATATTCAAAACACCTATGCTCTGGGCTTGACAAGTTGCTACAATGGTAGATATGTTTTTATTTATTTATTTATTTATTTATTTATTTATTTATTTATTTATTTATTTTATTTTGCAGGCAAAAGCTCTCAGACTATACAATGTTCATTATAGCTCAGCCATTCTATTCAATTCCATTCAATTTTAATCTAAACTCTCACAAACATTAATCTGCATAAACTGCTGCGTTGTCTTCTCTTTATTTTAATGGGTTACCCTACTGACAGTGACCAATTGCATTAAATCCATTTTTGCCTACAAAATGAGCCACTATATACCCTGAATTAATAATACTACGATCGTCAATGGCTGTGTGCATAAATTGTTAATTGCTAACAACAGGAATTTTGGGGCTATTAATTTAGCTACTGTGTGTATTCTGTAATGTATCTTTGTTGAAATGATTTTTTTTTTTCCCTTAAATGATGGTCGATGACTGTGCACAGTTGTGCATGATTTAATTAAACAATTGGGAGGGAAGAGTACTGCCTTCTCAGTCAATGAGGTAAGAACACGATTAGCATGATTGTATTTTAATAGTTATTTCGCTTACACATCAAGTTTGTTCTACAATAATAAAAAAACATGAACAGATGAAGTTTGGAAACAAACAAAAGATATGTGAAATCAATTATTAATTGTTTTACCTGGAATGGCTTAATGTTGCTTTCTTCCATTGCCAGTTTGCCATATTCTGTAAAAAGCTGTGTAAAATAGAACAAACTCAGTTTGTTATTGGAAAACTCGGTAATCATTCACATAAGTGCCAACACTTGTTTGTCAATAGGCTTTTTAGACTTTGCTAAATGTAATTTAGGCCAAGTTAAAATGGAGACAAGTGGTAGCCAGTGGTTTTCCTCCTCGATGAGGGTCAGTCTGTGGATTTTGCAGGGAGGCCCAGGAATTTACAGCTCTCCTGTCATTACATTAATACAGTTGAACCTCCCAAAAGCAACCACCCAAAATGTCAAGCCTAAATGGTTGCCTAAAAGAGCTTAGACCATACTGGTCAAAATTTTGCCTCGTTAGCATAATTATGGTAACTGCAGAGACTAATCCCATGTTTTAAATGTTTTATTCATTTGAAAAGTCAATTTTAAGAAAAAATCTGGTACTTCCCATTGAGAAATTTCCATCTCTTGCACTATCCAAGAATGGGATAATGTTACTTTACAACACCTTATTATCCTTTCAAACTTTAAGCCCTAGAAGTGGTTGCAGTCATTTACGAGAGGGGGTCGCTTACAAGAGGTTCCAAATATAGTAATTTGACCTGGAAACTTGACATTTTGGAAAACTGGTCTCTGAGGTGAGGTGGTCGTAACCGGAGGTTCAACTGTATTATTATCTATTTTTCTTGAAATGATTTTAACTGTACCTGGAGATGTTGAAGATCATCTTCTTGAATGTTCTGTGTTAAGTTGTAGATCTATGGGCAAAAAGCAGTGCAAACTTGGTTAGAAAGACAAAAACGAAATTTCAAAAGAGTAAGCAAAAGCTAAACTGCTTACAAGTACATCCTATCAAATTGAGCCAAAATTTCCAATAAAAGCTGTTCTGCAAATTGATAGATGCATAATTTGCATAATATACACAAAATAGGCTATGTGTTTGAATGAAATCAAATATGCGGGGATAAAGTATGAAGTGTACATGTACTGTAGGTCTAAATGACTATTGTTGTTGTTATGTGTAAATTAAAGTTCTAAGCCTCGGGGACAAAAAAAAGTATAATAATTATTTAATAGCTACATGTAAGCTGTGAAATCCCATATGAGTGAAGCCAATCATGAAAATTGTAAGTTTGAATACGTGATCCTGTCAAGACCAGTTCCCTCACATTTGATGTAAAGCATGAACTACACTAATACAAACCTGTGTTGAACTGGTCATTGTACTGAGAGCAAAAATTGTTGCACAGTCTTTCACAGTTGATGTGCTGTCAAATGCACCCTGGGTGTCCATTAAGAGTACAACGATCTGTATAGTGTGACGAGGACAATGATGTGAGACAAATAATATTATACACTTAATAACTGGTACCAAGGGAAAGAGTTTTGTTTTCCCAAGAATCTTGATGTTTTCTGAGAGGAGATCAGGGACAACATTTGAGGGAAAACAGATCTAACTGCTTCCCAAGGGAACAAGTAATTTTAAGGTGTTTTATTATATAGCTGGAGTTTAGCGTGCAAAGTGATATAGCAAGAAGAATTAAGACCCAAGTCAAAGTAGCCTCTGGTTAGTGGGGGAGCAGGCGACAATGGCATAATTGTCGCCTGCAGGTCGTCGTTTAGATTTGGCTATTTCCGTGTGTCGTAAAACAGTCAATAAGAGCATGTATTAGATTCAACTTAACTCCAGCTCTGTAACAATTACCGGTAACAATTTAGCATTGTTATCAAACTTTGCAGGAAAGATCTTCATTCAACCATATTATGATCAAAGCAGAAATGACAAAATCAACAGGAATTTCAGCCTTCTGTTTGAGTGACAGGATGTTTTTCTGTTTTCTGTGAGAAACCTATCACCCAATATTCATTCTAGTAGTTGCTGAAACACATGCCTACTAGGAATTTGCTTAACAAACCACAGTGGGGGTACACCGTAAAGTATCACTATGTGAGACAGACCTCCCTTAATTCTTAGCTACAGTGAACCTTAACCAAACAAAGAGATAGTAATAAATGGTTCATGAACAGCAAAGAAATCAAATGAACAAACCTCTTCACCACTAGGGAGAACCTTAACATACGGCTTGCTCCACATAAGGATGCCAGTCGTGTCTCGCTCTGATCCTCCTCTCCAAGAGAACCCCTCCAGTGCCTCTTTCTCTCCTCCAATCCAGTCTGGATAGGTTCCCTGAGAGTAAATACGTCCAAATGTAAGGTATCAATATACAGGGCCTAAAAATAAAGTTAACCTAAAAATCAAATCATTAGTTATCAAATTATTAGTTTTAGTGTCATGCTGATTAAGGATATTGAAGGTAAACATGCAAATAACATAAAACCTCTCAGCCCCTTCGCTAATAAGCTCCCATTTTAAGAGCAAGAAATCCAATGAACCCTTCCCCTTCCACTCACTTATCTTCTGGTTTCCTCCTTTAATCTTTATAACCAAAACAATAAGTTAAACTACATGTACATGAACATGAAGTGTAGCTCTAACAAATCCAGTTAGATACAAGTTGAGTATTTGGACCAAGAGCCTCCAGATGTCAAATCAAGCCCTAATGTGTCTATCAGTGTCAAGCCCGAAGGGGAGGGGACCCCAGCATACAGGGGGCATTTGATTTTTAAGAAGTGTTTCTGGTCAAAATCCCTACCAGTGGGCCCAAAAATGGGAAAAATCAGCGTAGCACTGTACATATAGCGTGTTGTCAGGTTCAGGAGTGAAGCTGGTTCTAAGCATGTGTTTTTGTTTTTGTTTTTGTTTTGTTTTTTTGCCAAAAGCTCTCTCTTATATCCCTTCATATTGTATTATGATAAATAAGAATGTTGCTGTCGTTGCTCTCTGAAGTAGGTGTCTGGTGATATAAAAAATAAATTTTGTACTCTACCCCTTTTTAGAATTTCATTTTTATTCCCTGGAGTGACTTTCAGGTTTTTGGGTGTTGTAAAATCAAGGTCTGTAGCTCTTAGTGCAAAGGAAGAGACTTGTCATTCACACCATTTTCATAAATCTAGTAATACATACACGGTCATATACATGTTATTGAACAAGTGCAAGGTCCATATTGGAGGAATGTTGAAGAAATGTGTTTCTGTTTGTTTGTTTGTTTGTTTTTGTTTTGTTTTTGCTTTTGTCTTTTTGCAGGTTTATGAACTGAGCCACAAGCAGTGGAGATGAAGGTGGACTCCCAAGTCAGAGATTGGGTGTTCAAATCTGGGTGAATACAAAATAAAAGAAAAATAATCCTGTCATTGTATGGAAGTATTATGGTATATGCTGAGAAGTAGGTGGTTGATATGGGATCCTAGCAGGGGTAGGGTAGAGTAGGGTTAGGGACCGAGCATAGTAGGGTAAGGTTAGAGACTGAGTGGGTGGGTGAGTGGTACGCATGCTATTCTTTTTAAGAACCTCCCAAAAAAATGAAACAAAAATAATATGGTTTGAACAATTTTTAAGCCAAGGTAAGAACTGGACCATAACATGTTAAACAATATTTTTTTCCTCAAAGCAAAGGTCAGAAGTGTGGTGATGGTAGCAGAATCATGCGTTTACATATACAATGTACCCCTTGACCCCCCAGTTCCCACTACTCCACAAATATGGGTGCAAGGGGCAAAATCCAGGGTTGACAAGTCTCTTTGAGTACAAAGTACATAGTGACCCAGCTGACAAAAGAAAAAGAATCTTGTAAAATATGCAAATCATGATACAGGACTTCAATCAATCAGTTTATGCACGTTTGACCAGCAAGTTGTTCTTCAAAGTGGTTGACTCTAGAACTGCTGAATCCTGGCCTGGGTATCTGCTTAGCTTTGGCATGACGCGAAATCACCACATTCATAACAACATGTTTCAACATTTACCTAACATTGTTTATATGCATAAGCTTAGCCCTAATGTGTACATACATGCATAACATAATTGTTCCGCAAAATATCGAAGACATTTAGCAAAACAATATTATTACACACGATTATTGCAGAATGATTGCCATGGTTGTCTATGATGGAGATTTTGATGAATCCATTGCGAGTCTTCGTTCATACTTGCACCTGTATCAACATAAATGGCGTTCCCGTTTTCCTCGCTAAATAATTCAAAATTGAAGAAAAAAGGCTGACAATGTTTTATTGTTCGGGATGTATCACGCTTACTTTGAGGAAGAAATAAACATCGATATAAGTATCAGACACTGCTATTTTTTAGATGTTAAATGATGTGTTAATTTGTCAGAGTGTACAAAAGTAACTGGAATTGTTGTACAATCATTTCTACGTCAGCTACCTTACCTCCCTGTCCAAGTACCGCAAAAAGAAATCCAAGAGGAATGATTTCCCTTTCCTAAAAGCGCCAGCCACGGACACTACGGCTACCTTCTTGTCCCTTACGCTTTCGTCGAGTAAGATTTCTTCCAGAGCTTTTTCGTCGAGCCCAAAACTGTGGGTTTCCGTGGCCACTACAACGGGCACCGGTCGCGCGCCCAGCAATTTTGAATCCAAATCGTGTTCTTGTGTGTGGGTCATGGTTTCGTCACTCCCTTTAGAAATGGAGATTGATGTTAGTAGAGTGAAACAGGCGACTGGGTAATTCTAATTGTAACTTTTCGCGATGAACTAACCGCCTCTCGGATGAACTTCCATCTTGTATGTACGTTATTTGAAATTGACCTCCGGGCTTTTTTTGTAAATTTCCAAAATGGCCGCGCTACCACTTCCGATTACGCAGAACCACGGGACAGATTTCGCCTTTAGAAGAGGCTGTAGGGTAGGGTAGGTAAAGCACGCAAAGCACTTGATTTTGCCATTTTCCCGAATTATTTCCATTAGGTAGCCAAAGAAAACTCCATTAAGCATATTTTGCCGCATCATATTATAACTTTGAAGAAATTAAACTAATGTACTAGATATTATCTCTGTTAACTGCGAATGACGTCATTACATCCACTCCCTACCCTGGAGGAATAGCCCTGTCTTCCTCTTTTGCATCGAGAATCCTGGGAAATTTTCAACTTGGCGGACATTTTGTTATGCACAATATTCTTCACTCTATTAACTTTTTTTCGTTCTAAACCTTCGGAAACATGTCAGAGAACTATGGTAGGACAAACATCAACCAAAATTATTGCAGGATAATTCAGTTTAGGAATCAGCTGGTTTCGTCTTCGTACAAAAACTGTGACCTGCGTTACTAACCTTGTTCGTGTTCCATCTTCTTGCAGATTTTCTTTTTAAGTTTTTGGTGATCGGCAGCGCTGGAACAGGGAAGTCGTGCATTCTGCACCAGTTTATAGAAGGAAAATGTAAGTTGCCAACGCCGTTTTGTGTAAAATAAGTTCTCTTAGCGAATAGGATGATCACCGTTATCAGCGTTATATATCGATGAGCTCGCAAAGGTCTATTTCTGTTGTTTGTGCTTTTATTGAAGATTAACTTTACTTAGGTTATAATTTTACCCTCTTACTGAAAGTGTTAGACTTCAGTTTAATTTTTTTATCTTTCGTTTTGTTTTCTTTCACTTGTTTGACAGTTAAACAGGATTCTAGCCATACTATCGGCGTAGAGTTCGGTTCTAAAGTTGTGAATGTCGGAGGCAAGTCTGTAAAGTTGCAAATTTGGGATACAGCTGGACAGGAAAGGTTTAGGTACGTATTAAATACACCGATTGTTCGCTTCCATATTCGGGAGGTGGATGATTTTGAACGGTAAAAATTGACTTTATATGTTATCGACACCTTTTGGTGATAACTTGAGTTAGAAATTAGCTTCCTTGTTTAAAATATAGGCTTAGTCATAATTTGCTGTGTTTTAGACTTTATAATTTTCTTTTCTGTGAACCCTTTCAGTCTGGAGTTAAGGTTTCCTACAGAGTCTGTAATTTCTGAAAAAGTATGGAAATGTGCAACCTACTGTAATTTTTCTAGACCTAGAAAAGACATGGAAAGTAATTATGAGGTCTGGAAACAATAGAAAAAAAAATTGGAGTTTACTTAGGAAAATCCTGGTCATCAGATTTTTTGTAAATTTTCCAAGAACCAAATTGATGAATTACAGAATGGCAAAAACCTTCTACTCACCACCAGGTCCAACATTAATATTTTACTATTAGACTATGAAATTGAGATTAATTCTATGAGGTGATAGTTGATGAGCCCAAAGGCGGAATCAGCTGTCACCTCTGTAAGGTATATATTAAACAATAGTAACAGCTTTATTAAAACTGGCATAGCCTATAAATGGACAGTTTGGATTGGCTAACGATGGAACAAAAGCATTGTCTTCTGAGACATGCACCTGCCAAAGACCTTCAATTGAAATGGCATACTTTTTTAGCAAGCACAAGTCATTTCTTTGTTTGCTTTATTGTTAGGTCTGTGACAAGAAGTTACTACAGGGGTGCTGCTGGAGCCCTACTTGTTTATGACATTTCAAGGTAAATGTCACGTATTCAGTCAGCAATTAAACAGGGGTTTCAGTAACATTTTCAGCAGGAGTACAACTGCTTTTCACAGGCGGGTGAAATTTTCTAAAGTGAACTTCTTTAGAAGAAATTTTTCCCTTGATGGTTATATTGTCCTAGTCAAATCATCCTGGTTAGTTTGCCTAGTGGCTGGCCCTTAATGAAACCCCTGAATTGATCCTGTGTAGACTGTAATGGGGTACAGAACTTTCCATTAATAGGAGAATTTGTAATTCTCCTGGTTGCCTTATGCTACATGTATGAACAGTCAACGAAAACAGCTTTCAAACAAATCAAGTAAGCGATGACACAAAATATTGTCTTTGCATTGCACAACTTAACAACACTGCAAAAGTACTGAAAGTAACAAACAAAACAATTTGTAAACTTTGAAATAGTTTTTGAATTCTGTTTTTGTTATAGCCGTGAAACGTACAACTCACTTACAAACTGGTTGACTGATGCAAGGACCCTTGCCAGCCCAAACATTGTTATTATCCTGATTGGAAACAAGAAAGATCTTGATAGTGACAGAGAAGTCACGTTTCTGGAAGCCAGCAGATTTGCACAAGAAAATGGTCAGTATAGAGCAGTTTTCAATTGAGTGTTGTAAGACCAAAACCAAACCAATTACTCACCAATTAGACTTCTCAGCCAATCTCAAACCGCAGTAAAACCAAAACCAAAACCAAAGTAATTGTCTAATTACTTTCGACACTCAAATGAAAACCGCTCTAAATAAGTATGTGATTTGTATTCTGTGATTTTATTTTCTATGTAAAGACAATAATATCAATTAGATAGACTGAAACTGACTTACACAGTGTCAGCTAATTTCCAAACACAGGGACTGCTGAGGGGAAGGGGCTGGTAGGGCTATAGCCTTACCACTTTTATTGCTGGGATTTGTTTTCTAAGGCTGACATGGATTAAATATGGATTTTACTACTTGAAATTAATATTGGCCAGATTTTTTAGCCCTACCGCTTTAAAAATAATGGTCTCCGCTGTCCCTGAAACACCATGAATAAGGAGGGAAGTAATTATAAGAGCCAACCACTGGCTAATTTCACTGCCTAAAAGGGAGCTTATTAGTTATATAGTTTCACAACCTGAAATTTCACTGTCTGCAAAGCAAAGACTTGGGGCAATGTTTAAGGTCCACAGGCCAGAAAAGTGAGGCACTGCAGTAGTTAATAAGCCAGCATAGTTTTTTCTTTGCTACAAAGAAATGAAGAATGAAATTTGAGGTTTTTGGATTCCAGATATAATACATGCACCTCAAGTATTTGATATTAATTTATCCTCTAAGTTAAATTAAAGCAAATGAGAAGACAGGCAAATAAGTAAAGCATCTAATATCCCCGCAACAACTATGTACATGTATCTAACCCTCTGTCATAGATGATTGTTATTGTGTTACAATTCTTAAAGCAACAAATTTTACACAGGAGTGGATGTAACATTTTTTACATTGATTAATTGCCAAAGATTGTAACTTAGCTTTTCTGTCTGAGGGAAGCAGTGTGCTGTCTACAGGTATTCATTGATGTTACACAAAAAAATCAATAAAAAAACTATAACTTCTTTAAATAATTTATTTATTGCAGAGTTAATGTTCTTGGAAACAAGTGCTCTGACAGGAGAAAATGTTGAAGAAGCTTTTTTGAAGTGCTCAAGAACCATCCTTGGTAAAATTGAGACAGGTAAACTTGAGACAGGCACTTTGTGTTGTTTGGGGCTGATTACAAACTGTTGCAGGAACTTTAGCTTCATCTCACAAATTTTGATCTTCTGCAATAGTTTTGTTATCAATGGAATTTCTGATTACTCTTATCTTTAAGTCTTTAAGAATGTCAACAATGGAAAATGTGGTTGGCTTATTATAATTAAAGATGTCATAGCATTTCTTTTCTTTTAAAATATTCTTAAAACAGGCCATAGAAATACAGTTGAAGCCCACTTTTCAAACTCTCAGCCTCAGGGGAAATGAAAAATAGTTCGTAATAACGGGAGTTCCAAAGATTAATAAGCAATTATAGTAAATGACTGAGGGGCAATTCCGAGGGAAATGGTGTTGAGTTTGAAATAACAGAGAATTGGGAATAACCAAGTTTGAATGAGTGGGATCCAACTGATCTAATTACTGATGCCATGAAATTGCCTGTATCTAAAAGTAACTGGAATTTTTGTGGTTTCCTGCAGGTGAATTGGACCCTGATAGGATGGGCTCAGGAATACAGTATGGGGATCCATCACTCCGAAGAACAATACGTCCTGGCAAACAAGAGGAGAGGCAGAAATGTGCATGCTAGTCTCCTGGGCAATCAGCACAATAACTTTTTTCACTTATTTACTAGAAAACCGTCGAGATACTTGCCAAGTTGCCAACTGGAATATTTGTTTAAATAATGCATGTCAAGTTTAAACGCATCTAAAAATAATAATATCATGACTATTAATGGCATGATATAGTGCATTGCAAGATGATTATTGTGTTTAGAGTCATAATGTAGTCTTTTTGTTTGCTACCGGCAGAAATTAGTTAATCCTTTGGTCTGCAGGAGGGATGAATCTTTACTTTCTTGTAGTAAGTACACTGTGTACTAATGAACAGATTGGACATGGACGTAATCATTCAAACGAAGGATAGGCATCTTGGTTGAGAATTCAAATTCCCCCAAGGTGAATAAAAGGAAAGGTTTTAAAAATATTCAATGATCAGAAGAATTCTTGTGTTAATATCGTCACATTGTACCTACATGTAAAGTTTAGTTTCATTTTACTAACAGTTTAACACTCTGCTTTTCATCAGAAAAAGTGCTGCTACATGTAATAATGCGTGTTTTACTAACAATTTTGGTAATTTAAGATTTTCGCCTGGTTATGTTGTCACGGTATGAGCATCTTTTATGTAGCCTACAGTAAATGAACAGAACCATCTCTCATCACATACCCGCTTCTTTCCCTGCTTGAGAGATGTCTCTGGTTCATGCTCGAAAATAAGAATTCCGTACTTGAGACACAAGTAGCGCAACAAAAATCCAAGTATTATCTTGTTCATTGATTGTTTTGAGCTTTTGTCCCAAAGTGATTCTCCCACCCTATCTAAGACACCACATGGATTTCTGTTGTGTGATCTTGTCAGACCAAACATGGAATTTTTCAAGTCAGGGGAAGTTAATTAAATGTAAAGAGGGCAAAAATCAAGTGAACTAGTTATTCTAGTGAAACTGGTGATCCCATCATTTTACTTGGACTGTGTAAACAATTTCATAACATAATTGTCAATGTATATAGTAATGCTGGATGCAGTAAATTTTAATCTGTAGAGTTGTAATATGGATTTCTTGCAGCATGTCTGTTTAATCAGCAGGTGTCAGTGTTGGTTTACTTACAGGTCTGGGCATGTTCTGTAACTATGATACTCGCTAAATAGCTTTGTGTATTTTAATTTGAGAAATCCCAACGTCAATGGCTACAGCTGAACATACATGTATGGGCACTTTAATGGACTATCTTAAATGTCCGGTCCACAAAAAGCCAAAACTCTCTGGAAATATAATTATCACTTGAGTTAATGGGTGAAGATCAGATGTTGAAACATCATCATGGTTGTTATTTCCTGTGTTGAGCCTCAAATTGTTTATGAGTTTGAGAAGAAATCAATCACAAATGATTTTACACAGCCTAATAATAACGCACCCCAGTATATAAAATACATGACTTGTATATGTAAAATTTTCACATGCTGTGATTGTTTCACTTTTAATACCAAATTACTGTACTAAAACAAACAAAATACAAGGACAATAAAATTAGTCAGTTTTGGTCACCTTATAAAGTTACTTATGTAATTATTCCTTTTTTTTTTTTGGCCTATTTTACAAAATTAAAAACTCAAATAGCAATCTGTCTTGTCCAGCAAAAACACACTTTCCAATACACCTAACAGATGTACTGTATGCTATCTCAGAAAATGTCTTTTGACATCTTCCTCTTTACAAAAGTTCCTTTGATACTCAGTCATCCACCAAGTTTTAGGAAAAGCAACATCTACATCAAAATGTGAAGGCACCTCTTTCTTCTTCACTGCTTCTTCTCGGAGTTGTGCTTTCTTTTTTATCTCTTGCTGTCTTCTTTTCTGTGCACGAAGGGCAGCAGGATAAACCTATAGAAAGGTTGATTGGATGTCAAATTTAGTTGGCATTTTACCCTTGCTATAACAAGGAGAAACAACTGACAGGTTCACGTGCTCAACTGTCCAGCTGGTTTGTCAAGAATGAAAACACATTTTGATGCAGAATACATGTAGATTGAAATAATTCTGATGTCTTTCTGAGTTCAAGTTACATCCTGATCAAGAGACACTGTGATTTCATCATAGTCCATGATTTGACAGTAGTATGTGTAGTGCCTTTGAATTTTGCACATGCAATTGGAAATTACAAGAATATTTCTCAAGATCACTCTCAATGTAACTTTTTTAGTAATTTTCAACTGGAGCACTTAGAGATGATTTCCAGTCTGTACTGCGCACTCTCGAGAGTTTGTTTACGTGTTTTGTTTTGTTTCATGTAAGACCACAAAATGTAAACATTTTGCAACTACTTGCATGAAGTAACATTCAAAGTTCTAAAATAACCACCATTATGGATGCAAAGCGGTCGAAGCTTTATGCTTCGTTCTTTCTCACATCACTTGATGAAACAACTGCGCAGCTTTGAAAATCAATTAAACTGTTGGAAAAAGAATTTGAAAGGCCTCAAAGATAAGGTTTGTGGTTTGTAACGAATTACAGTGATTCGCATTCCATTGAATGAGATTTCCATGTATAACGCCTATAAAGGTTAGGGTGCTGAGATTACGCAGTACGTACTGGAAATCATCTTTAAAACAAACCAGAAAAAAAAAAAAAATGTCTTGATGGATTTTTTTTCAAGTATGCACCATTATAATCCATCATAAATTTTCACTCGTGCACGATTGGTCTAAATGGATGAAATGACTGAATATCCCCCAGCTAAAGTTGGGCAATGTCTGGCCCTATCCCCCACTCGGGGGCAAGGAACTAAGCAGCAAAGTTGGGCAATGTCCGAGTGATATTCCCAATTTTCAAAACCATGCACATTGTAAAAGATATTTGAAGGATAATGAGCACACTGCCTCCATTTGGTGAGAAAATGTGCTCGGATATTTGTTCTTGGATTTTATCTTTTCCTTGAAGCTCACAGTTCTCCTCGAGGTATGCTCTCGCAAAACTGTTCACTTCTCAGAACAGAAAATGCCTGCAGACAATTAATATTCAAGCATATTTTTGCACCAAATAGAGGCTATTGTTTATCTTTTCCAAGTTTTAAGTCACAATCTGATCAGATTTTTCAGAATTATGACTTAGGGAACCCAGGAAGGGATTTTTAAGGAATTAAAATCCAGAACATTTCCTGGGAGAAGCATGCCCCAGGTCCCCTTCGGAAGCTTGCAACTTCAGCACTCATTACACAAATTGGTCACTATTTATCCTACATTAGCCTGCGAGCAGGCTCACCTTTGAGTTGCGTGCAAGTGGCGAAGAGCAAAGCGATCCGGCTCAAAGGAGTCTGGTGAAGAGGCGCCAAGTAAGTGAGCCTGCCCTGATCTCTGTATTTTTTTTCATTTTTGCTTCGCCTGAGCGAAGTGAAATACCATTGGTCGAAAAGCGGGAAAGGCAAGAAAACTGTAAATCCATTATGTTTGACAAGGAGCAATCAGATCCCCATGGAATCGGTAATTTAATGCATGTTCTCACAATAAAAATTAAGTCATCCATATTTGGAGTCAGAAGAGTTAAGTGCACATATTACTGACATTTTAACAAAGTTCCAGTCCAGTACTGGTTAAATAAATTTCAAACTAAAGAGGGAGCAGGAAACAGAAGTTGAAAGTTTGTTAATGAATCAAGACATACTTGTCATGTTGCCGACTGCATATGGGAAGAGTTAAATATTACAAACGTACGTGATTGCAAGTGGGCAATGAAACAACTACTGAGGCATTTACCCGTTTACCAGCATCACCAAAGACCAGACTCCCAAAGCATGATCACTTGGAATTACATGTAAGTGTGTGTCCTTGCTAGACATCGGCAAAACTTTATCAACAATGTATATCGTGCCTGCATGTTGTTGTGAAATCCCGAGAAATCTGAGCTGCCAAAGTTCATACTTCCGGTGAAAATTAGTTGGCTTATTTTTTCTGCAGTTTCCGGGGTGGAAATGAAAAATTTGCAGAGACCAGAGCAGGCTCACTTTCTCGTCTCGCGGATTTGCCGCTCGATTTTGCGCTCATGGCTGCACCCCGCGCGCTTGTGCTCCAACGTGAGCTTGCTCACAGGCTAATCCTACATCTGCATCTGCTGCTCCCCCCCTGCCCCCCTCCTCCTCCACTACTAAACTGGAGAGGCTGTCATGTGACCATCAAAATAACAGGTCAGCCAGACAGGTGATTAGAGCACTTGCATTAAATATTGTCATACTGTTTTCCCAATTAGCTTTCTCAGGATATATCAAATTTCTAGAAGACATCCACTAATCATAAACTAAATTACTTAATAAAACCATTTACTCACTGGCTTCATGTAAATTGATAAACCATATTAAAACTTAACTTAAGAAACTTCTGAAATCAAATTAAAGCAATAACATACATCTAAGTTGTAAGCTTGTATTGCATTGTCCTTCGAAACGAACTGTTAAAAGCGATCAGTATTGATTAACTTACCGAAGATCTGAGGTCGAAGTTAAGAAATTTGTACCATGCTTTAGTCATCTTTTTTTGACATAGTACATGCAGCATTACAGTAATTTAGTAATGACCTGATAGTGATAAGACTTAACTACTAACCTCTGGCAGTGCAGCAAGCACATTGTGAGTTTTCCACTTGTCTACAGGTCCTTCGTTACCCCTTCCGTACGGAAGGAAAGGAGCTTTCTTCTTTCTTTCCTCAGAGTACTGATTCTTTTCGGGGGAAGCTGAATGTGATCGGTGTTTTCTTTTTTCTTCAGATGATCTGTGATGTTTCCGCGCGCCCCGATCGCGTTCCTTCGATCCCGAATCGCCCGCAGCATGCGGATGTTTTGGTTTTTCCTCTTCTTCTTCTCCATACTTCAGCTTTTCAGGTAGGACAAAAGTCTTGTCAACAGCATGACCGTTTTCTTTAATCTCTTTCCTCTCTTCCCAAGCTTGTTTTGGTACTTTTTTATCTATTCTGTCCTCACGTGGAACAAACTCGCGGCGACCTCCATTGTAGCTGCCATCGTCTCCAGGAATCTCTTCAATATCTTCATCTTCTTCACTTTCGCTGTCCCAGCTCCACGGCTGATGGCGATGTTCCACCGACCTTCGATCTGATCTGTACTGCAACTTGCTAATAAATTCCTCCTTGCTAAAGTTATCCCACAAAGGTTCCTTGTAGGCCCTTCGATACGCTGAACTGTAAACCATTTCGATTTCGCTTTCCCTGAAAGAACGCGAAAGGAAGTCGCCAAGTCAAAGTTGTTCTGGATTCTGATTGGTTAACCAGATTCCCGGTTGTCATGGACGCCATTTGCGATTTCAAGGTTTTCCCGCGAAAGATTTTTGTCTTGTTTATTTTTTCTTGACCATAAAACACGAGACAAGTTTAAAAAGTTAAATTTCCAAAGAAATCTACGAAATTACGCTAGAAAAAAATTAATGTACAAAATCACTCAAAATATAAAATCCTCTACACACCAACCATTTCTCACAACTGCAATCTTTTCATAAATTTCACGGGACTTCGAATGAACTGATTTAGTAAACCGTTTCAACAATACTTACCAATCTTCATTGGTTAAAAACTTCCACCAGGCAAACGAGTCTCTTGCCATATCTGCTTTCCTCTTCGATCTGCAGTCTGCAGTAAATAAACTGCCTGTTTCTTTGTCAGCCTTTACTATCCATGCTTTTACACTCACGGGACAGTTACAATGTAACTGCACGCGCTATTGGTCTTTGTGTCGCGTCACGTATACCAGCCTCCGAGCAGGCACATGCGCGAGCTAGAGAAGTGGTCGGGCGGGGAGAAGTCTGAGTCAACGTTCGCGCGTGTACGTGTGGGCTGCTCGCATTTTAAGCTGACAGTTGCTCTTGTTTGCTTTCTTTTTGTTTGTAATTATAAAGCACCATCTTGGCCCGGAAGTAAGGAAAGCGTCGGGAGAGAGGAAACCTGAGCGTCCTTAGGATTCGAGTAAGGAACCCTATGGTTTGTGGCTCAAGGGCTAAAATTGTCCAAACCGGCAAAGCTCGCCAGGAAAAAAACGTTGGCACTGCAAGCGACATATAGTTTTTATATCGCTTTTAAATATGGCGTCAGTCTGCAACAAGTGCCTTCAAAACCTGATAGAGATAGATGAACTTCACTGATTCAATCAAATATTAATTTTATTGACAAAACTGAGGTTTACACTCTATCTCATATTGGGCTTTCCCATGGACAAAAGCTAAAATTCGCACTATGAAATTGCAACTGCCTTTATTATTCTAACTTAGACTTGATCACTCTACGAAGAAAAGTTATTTCAGTTAGAACACTCTTCGTGTTCAGTAGCAACGAACGTTAATGTAACGCAAAAATCAAAATTAAGTTCTTGCCGTTTGATATATAGTTCAACTGGAGTCCAGTGTGACCCAATCAGATCGAGATTACATCAAAAAAAGAAAGAACAAATGTTCCATTAGATCCAAACTGATCACAGTTAGATAGTTATCAAGCCGTTCTTAAACTTGCCGTGTAAATGTTTTCCTCACTAAAAACGATACAAAAATTAGAAAATGTTTAAAGTGGAGTGCAATAGTCATTTACCGTCCTGCAGCTAGTAGTCTTCAGAAGCCAACCACTGTTTCTTTCAGTCAGTATTTTCTTGAACTTTTCTCAAACTCCTTGACCATCTCACTCAGTTTGTGCATTGCTTCATAAATACCCTCGCCGTTCTTCGCGCACGACTCCTGCACATGCCAGGGGTGCGCCTTGTGTTGCAGAAGAGATAATTGCTGGGCTAACTCGTGTGACTTTAGAGCGCGAGGAAGGTCCTGCTTGTTGCCAATGACTACGACAGGCACGCCTTCCATCTCGGGGCTTTCAAGAACGCTGAAGAGCTCCTGCCTGGCTTCTGAGATTCTTTCCAAATCAGAACTGTCCACGACAAAGATTAATCCTTGGGTGTTTTGGAAATAGTGGCGCCATAAAGGACGGATCTTCTCCTGGCCGCCGACATCCCAAACTGTAAAAGTGACTCCTTTGCAGGGACAAACAGTTTCTACGTTGAATCCAATAGTTGGGATAGTGCTTACTGTTTCGTTCAACTTGAGCTTGTATAAAATCGTGGTCTTTCCAGCTGCATCCAAACCGACCATGAGTATACGGGCGTCACGATTTGAGAAAGAGCGGTAGAGATCGCCCATTCGTTGGAAGAACTGGGAAATCGTGATTCCCATAACTGCGCTGTCTTGTCGCCTTCAAACTGGTTTTCTCTCGCTGCATTGAACTTTACGCATGAAGTAGAGCGCCTTTTATATGCTTTTTCCATAAATCGTTGTAATTTAAAACATAACTTTTGTAAACCCAGTCTCGATCGACGTGGCATAATTTGACAAATCACTTTTTTCCCCAACACAGCCCACTCGAAGCTAAAAATAGCAAATAATTGTTCTCGAGCCTCGTTATCACACATTCTGACCCATGCTTCCCGCGTGTAAGAGAATTTTCAAGATGGCGGGTCAAGTGGAAGAAGAACCAGATTTGCCCGAAGAAGTCACCGAATCTCTAGAGTCTTTTCACGAGGCCTTGGGAAAAGTTGAAGATGTATTCAAGCCCCTTCTGGAGACTTCAGTTGATGACTTGAAGGAAAAGGTTGGTCGTTTTCCTTGAACCCGCCCGCATTCATAAGATCGATCATTTTCAATTCACGTGGGTGAATTTTAAATTGAGAACTACCAACATCCTTTATTGTCACTTTTTGGGGGCTTGCGCTTGAAAGCAATAAATCTATAGAGATTAGTGGTCAAAATCAAGTGAAACTGGTAAGTAAGCCATGTATGACGGCTTACTTTGAGAACATTTCAATCACGTTTGCTCAAGTTCACATGGAATTTTACAATAAGTTTCTATAATTGTTACTCGAGCTTAAGTTTAAGCTTAAATAAATTTTTTAAAAAAATGTAGTGGACTTATCATATCTACACTTTGTTAAAGCTTCCATTGTTTTCAGTATGTTTTTGATGAAACTGTAATGTTATACGCTTGTGGGTGTGGACGAAACATGGGGTAGGCCATGGCTAAGGCAATGGCCTAGGCCATGTTGTAGGCCATGGCCTACCCCCTGTGGCCTACCCTATGGCCTACCAATGGTCAGATTTTTAAAAACATTAACAAAACATTGGTAAGAGTCAAACAAGTTAGCTGGTATAAAATTATATCCCTCTAATAGAGGTATACTAAAAAGTCACTAACACGATTCTCAATGTCAGAGGGAATGAACAATGCAAACCTTACCGCACTCAGCCTTGAAACATCCTATTTCTCGCTGTCTTCGACGTCTAGCTTCCCCAGCCAAGCAATCAGCCATAACGGCAGGTGAAGAAGGAGGGGAAGGGCCCGGGGGGGACTCCCATATAAAAGAGACAGGAGTGCTGGTCAGAAATTTTGGAAAGAACTCCTAAGAGGTACCAAGATCCTGTTTTGCGGGCATGGTTTGAAATTTTTTTCTCCCCCAAGAGGTACCAATTCTTACAAAAGACATTATCTCCTGTCATATTTCACAAAAGCTCCTGCTGTGGACCTTTTGAGGCTTAACACACTACAGTAAGAGGTACCAAAACTGCATTTTTAACCCCTAAAAGGTATGACAAGCACTCCTGTCATTTATATATGGGATTCCTCCCACCCCCCAGGGATAAGGGTCGATATCACGTGGTTGCTGAGAATATCCAAAATGGCGGCTCTACGATCCATACTGGCTGCCAGTTTGTAACATAAATTATAGTGGATTGCTAGTGTAAACATGTAATGAACGGTGTTAGTGACTGTTTGTGTTATTGTTACACACGTAGTTAGTGACTTTTTTAGTACACCCCTATTTAGAGGGATGCAAGAAACCACAAGGGATATAATTTCATGCCACCTTACTGATTTGACTCTTACTGATGTTTTATTTATGTTTTTAAAAATCTGACTACTGGTAGACCATAGGGTAAGCCAGTGAGGGTACCAGTGGCCTACCCCACGTTTTGTCCACACCCAAAGCTTGTAATATAATGTCATATTTCTTACCCAAGTGTTATTTGATTTTTTTTTTTTTTTTTTTTTGTAGATGAATCCTCTTCAGAGTGCAAAACTTGATCTTGTTGTCGCTTACGCCATCAATTCTATGTTCTGGAGTAAGTGAAAAAAGCTCTTCTTCAAAATACATTTGGATTCTTCCAACTTTTTCACATGTACCACATATACGTTCATGTACAAGAGCTTGAGTAGCCTACACGTAGCTATGGGTATGGTCAACACAGGCTAAAGCTAGAGAGATACTGTAGAAAAGTGTCACATGTGACACCTTTTCTCCCCTTTCCCAATGCTGGATAGAACAACTTGCGACATAAATACTCAACTTTAGAGCCAAGTTGTACATGTATATATTGGATTTACAATATCACCCATGCCAGGCACATGCCAAGGTTATGGCATCAATGTAGACATGCAGTAATAATAATCCTACCCTGATCCTAGATGTCAAAAAACAGAGTTTTTTTTAATATTATGGTTGCAGTGCTGATCATGAAGTAGCAAAGATTATTCTGGATTCTGGTTATTCATGAAGTAGCATAGATTATGTCCAGTAAATATATGTACCAATTGCACACGTTTAATGTTCTAATTTTTTTCTTCTTTTCATACTGAAGTGTATCTAACTACGCAAGGTGTCAATCCTCGACAACATCCTGTCAAATCTGAACTGGTAAGGAACTTGCATCTGTAGCAAATGCTCAACATGTGCAAATGTGTGTTTTCAATGTTCCTTATTTAGTTTGATTGAGTACATTGTTGTTTTTTCATTTGTAGTTGGTAAAATTCCTCTTGCTTAGGGCACATTAGAGAAGTTTTTAATTCAGTGTCGTAAACCAAAACCAAACTAATTACTTACCATTTAGACTTCTTAGCCAATCTCAAACCGTAGTAAAACCAAATCTAAACCAAAGTGATTGCCTGATTACTTTGATGCTCAATTGAAATCCGCTCTGGTGAAAATCTATATATTTATGTACAAGAGTGGTTGCTTTGATGCATATGCACTGTTCAGTAATGCTTTTATTGATTCTTCAATCTTAGGACAGAATAAAGAAGTACATGGGTAAAGTGAAGGAAGCAACTGAAAAGAAAGAAGGTTGGTTCAATGTTAACCTTAAAACCAAAATTTGTTGTGAAAGTTTCAATCCTAACTCATTAAGAATTTCAGAGTTCACATAAAAGTATGAGATTATTTCACCTGAGTGTATGAAAGGGGCCCTCTATTGACACCCTTTATCTTAATTGAGCTTTATTCTCTGTGTCAAGTCCTTAGTATTTTAATCCCTTTAAGATGCAATGCAAGAGTGATCAACATCAATGTTCTCGTAAGTCCTTGTACATGTTCATCATTGCTGTTTCTGAGTCCTCCACTGAAAAAATAGTGCCTTGTACATCAGAGCAATCTTGCTTCCAGAGCCCAAGCATTTTTAATCAGGGATGGCCGAACACCTGACACTCTCTGCAAAATCAAAAGCCAAAACCAGGAAATCCTGGTTCTGGTTTGATTTTATACATGCATCCAAGTTTGATAATCAGGTTTTTTTATCATGTGTAGAGAGGGCAGCTGTTGTGATTAATTCTGGCTCACCTTCTGATTTCACTTTCCTTTTGATTTTGCTTGGTGTGACAAGAGAATTGTGCCTCTGAGAATATGTATGTTCACAAATGTATGCGTCACCCGGGAATTGTTGACACACATGTAAGGCATGACATGTACCATATTACTACACGGTAGAACAAGCACTAAGAATTATAGGGGACTATTAGATAGAACCTCTGTGCTCTTCAGGAGACTTACATTCAAAACAAAGGTTTGTTAATCTCAAGATGTGATTTGCTTTGGCATGCCTTATGATTGATTTCTTATCTGTGACAGCATCTGCAAGAATTGATAAAGAAGCTGCCAAGAGATTTGTGAAGAGTGCATTATGGGAACCTTCAGGTGATGCAATGATAATTATTACTCGACTGTGCATATTTATTTGTGATCACTTAATACACGATAGTTTGAATAGTCTGATACTTTACATGCGAGTGTTCAGTGTGGTTGTTTTTTTTTTAAATTATTGTTTGTTATTTTTATTGCAACCATTGTCAGTATTTGTGACAAAAAGTATAGTTACATGAACATGTTTAATGTGGTGGAGCATAACCATTTCATGCACAAGGAAATGACATGGCCAAGGAGTTGAACTTGAGACTGTTTTCATAACANTTTAGTTGTACGAGGTGTGTGATGGTTGAAATGTCGTCATTAGTTGACATAATAGTTATAATCACTCAGTTAAAATTGGTTAGTTGCTTATTGAGGAACTTTGTATGTTTTGTATCATGTTGCCTCACGCCTGAGTCGTTTTGGTGATGTATTTTAATCTTTAGACTCAAAGAAGAACTCTGAGAAACGTAAAAGCGAAGGGAAACCTTCTGTCAAGAAGAAAAGGACGCGATGATGGCGAGAATTCGCGGAACAGGTGGAAACTGGATTTAGGAATGACCTTCAGAATGTCATCATGAACGACATTTTCAAGTTCACATTGCATTCTTGGAAATTGGACATTGGTGAAGTGAATCAGCTATACTTCTTGTGTGATCTGGCGGAAAGACCACGATAAAAATTGGAGCAAAATCTTCAAATGAAATATACTGAAGAAAGGCATCGTAGACGGGCAGGAAATGTTCGACTCGATGACAGTTCTTTTTTAAAAATAATATTAGTTAATGTTGCCGCTGTTTGTTAGTCATTTACCAAGAAGTATTTCATAATGTTCAGACCTTCGTCACTTTTGAATCACGCAAACACATTCTAATATATTTTTTTAAAAATACATTTGTAGGAGAAATGCACGCGCAGAGCTCTTTTTAAGTTACATGTAAACAGGAATTACAGTTCGATGTTATCGTTACAGGGAAACTGCTCATTGAAATGTGGAACGCTTTCGCCGGCGAGTCGGATGTAAATTAATTCATCTCAATTGCGCTTGACTGAACAGTTAAAATTACCATTTTGTCTCATGGAATCTTGAAATACGCAGTCAATAATTAAGTGAATGAGTGTGATTCAACCGATTCTGGGGGTGATACCTGCCAAACTGCAAGTTTATTGTAAAACATTGTGTGCCAATGGTTTATTTTTCGGCGGGCTATTTGTGTTTTCAGGAAAGTTGTTCAGAGTTTTGCTGCCCTCTCGAATACAGTTGTGCCCCAATATGTTACTGACCGGTGGTGATGTAAACTTAAGGTTCTTTAGATTTCTTTAGAACTCTCACTGCATTTCAGGGCAACACTATTCATTTCACTGTGGCTAGGAAGAAAAGATGACAAATTGAGAGAGAACGTCCGATCGAGTAAGATTAGTGCGACTTCGAATTTTATCATAGTTTAAAATAATCGAGCGTGGAATAAACAAAAAACGAAATGTGGAGAAACATGATTGGTTGGGAGTAGTTGGCAGGAAAATGTATCGTGTTTAGTGAGGGCGCCATCTATTGTGAATAGCGAGCATTCGATGACAGTAATTTACACTGAGCTGATCAGAAATCTGACAACACGGCAAGTAATTTGTGAAGAGATTATTTACCCTTCAAGATGCACTCGTCTCTTATCATGTGGTCTATTCTGTCGCTATCATGTGTTACTGTGATCGTATCCGCAACAGTTGATGACAGTAACGGTTCAACCGGGTCAAAGGCATCCACGGCTCCCACGGAAAAGAGCGACAGTCCAGATATCGTTAACGTGAATCAAGATTCACGCATCATCGAGAAAGCCATCAAATCTCTTGAAACAAGTTTGGAGAAAAACCTCCAGCGACTCATACACGTAGTCAACGCTACATCTGGTGGAAATCGTCCCGATGAACCTGGTAACTTATGCTTGATTATGTTGTTGATTGTGGAGTTTTTTTAATTATTATTTTCTTCTGGTTTGTGCTTAATTTTATTGCATTTTGTCTTGGGCAGATACCTTTTCATCGTGTAAAGAGATTTACGTGAATCACAAGTAAGTCGTTAAGAAGGAAAGAACCAAATCGAAACAAAACACAATTTTTAGTCTCAATGTGTCTCTCGGAAAGAGCAAACTAGACGTTATAAAACTAGGATAAAGGGCCATTTGATATTTCAGGATTTTGAAGCGTCGGAAAGGATAAGCTAGCTTTTCTTTTAGAGAAAAACTACCAAAAATGTTTTATAGGTGGAGCAAGGCATAACAAAGACGAGGTCTATATTTAATGTTGTTTTATCTTTTTTTTTTTTTTGTCTTGAGTTCCGTTCTGACCAGTAGCTGGTGTTCGGTAGCCCCGACTGAGTTGAACTCGTCGACCACGTTTGTGAATAGCCAACTGGTTTGCTTCCTGCTAGTGTTAACCATTAAATGTTCATCTGCATTATTTGTTTCATCATTTGCTTCCATTGGTCCTGAAAAACCCCATTGGGGGAGTGGTCAATTAAGATATATATAGAAGATGTATATAAAACTGTTGGAGCGATCTGTGGCAATTTGGTCACGAAAATTGATAAGATGTACATATAGTTTGTAACTACAGTTTAATACTACTTTATTAGTACATGTTTTGTTTTGCAATCAGATGGGAAGGCAACAAAGCTTACCTTCTCCAAGTGGGTTCTGTGAAGATTCCTGTTTTCTGTTACATGACTGGCCTTGGGCCATGCGGCGGCGGTGGATGGACCCTGGTCATGAAAATTGATGGCGCTAAGGTATGACGTGTGCATTCTTTGTCCAATCGATGTTAAGAGTCAGAGATGAAACGCGTTACGTAATTGAGACTCACTGCACATAGATGTTGAAGTTGTAACTTGTGAGCGCAGCGCTTCCATATATTTTGACTAGAGAACTGGGTTGGTCGAATATGTTTTCTGTAAAGTTTTCCAAAAAAGTTAGCCAAAACTGCTGCTTTTGACCAGGATTTATATGGAGACGTCCAAACGTTATTGTGAAACCCTTTTGTGTCACAAAAATGTTTACTGAACAAGGCAAAATAAAGTTATATTGTTTATTATCGCGTGGTAAACACGCAGAAAAATCCCACCACAGGTTGTATTAATCATGTAATGAGCTTGTCAACGAAATAATTCCACGTTTTTAAACAGGTGCCCTTGATGCAGCTGTCGTGGAAGTTGGTGCAACCTCCTCTATGTGGCTTATGTGTATGACTGGATATTTTTTCACACTGTTTTTATTTTGTTCTCAATAGTCAACCTTTCGTTACGATTCCAACTTCTGGAGCAACAAAATCGACTTTAACTTTCCAGGAGGTAAGACTTTGTTTGATGCACAAGAGGCCAAGTTACCAACCTACTGGAACACACCTTTCTCCAAGATTTGTCTTGGTATAAAGATCGGCCAACAGATGAAACTCATTCGCATCAACAAGCGTGCAAAGTCTCTGTACTCACTGATCGCTGACGGGCAATACCGCGCCACCTCACTGGGTCGTAACACGTGGAAGACGTTGATTGGTTCACAGGCCTCCTTGCAGCTCAACTGTAACAGGGAAGGGTTCAATGTTGTGAGTACGTCTTCTAATTCCTATTCTAAAGCGAGAATCGGAATTGTTGGTAACAACCAAAATGACTGCACCTCTTGCGACTCCAGAATCGGGTTTGGTACAGGAGGGACTCCCGATGACTCCAACGCGTGTGGAAATGTGGCAAAATACTCGAATGATAATGGAGAGAAATTCATCAAAGCCATGGGTTACATCCTGGTGCAGTGAGAAGAAAAGTGGCATAGCAACTTTAGAAACCGGTAGATGTTGTGCTGATCATAGAAAAACAGGAAAGTGCAAATTTGAAGCTAAAATGATATTGACAATTTATCTTTTGTCAGTAGGTCCTGTCAGTTTTTTTTTTTATTATTATTATTTTTTCTGAGAAACAACTGTAGAAAATTATATAACAAATAAACGTGTGTTGGGAATTGACTTGTTCAGCTGATGTCTGAGTATTTTTCACGTATGCATTACACGAGATGAGTTCAACCCTCGAGATTCAAGCAACTGGTGTTCATCCTCACAAATCAGGGAAACTTTGTAGAGCGCAAGTATCTTCCAGAAGGTGAGGCTTCTTAGATGGGATGCTCTAATTGTTCGCCACTGATAAATTCAGTCATTTTCTTGAGCAAAGATCCCTGTCAATATTAAAGGCTCCCTACTAATTCCCTTAAAATAATCTAACAATAA